AGGAGCTTTTGGGGAGAAGCGAGCACAGGTGGCCACGGTTTGCGCTTTCGTTCGTTTATGGTAGAGCGATCGAGTTGGCGCTACTTAGCCGCGCTTGTTAATTGTAGAGCGATCGAGTTGGCGCGATCTAGACGCGTTTGTTAATTGTAAAGCGATTGCATTGGTGCGGCTGTGGCATCGTTTTTGCCAGCAGCCCATCTGATTGGTGCGGCGGTGGCAGCGTTTTTGCGTATAAAATCGGCATCGCGAGCCGATCGTGCTTCACTTCGTTTTCCGAAATCCGAACGACAGGGTGTACTGTTTGTGCGTATTGCGATCATTTCTTAAAAGCTCCAATAAATTCGTGAGAGACATACAAATCGTCGTATCATTGAAATCAATCACGGATAATTTACTCGCTTCACCTTTTCGGGGTGAACAACTACTATATGAACAATCAATTTATATAACTATTCTTATTTACCAAACATGTATGCGCGTGTGTGTGTGTGTGTGTGTGTGTGTTTGTGTGTGTGTAGTATTCATAACATGAAAGATTTGGTCCCGCATACCCATTTTTCTACCCATACTCAGTTTGGATTTCGAGTTTAATATTTTATTTTATAAACTCGGTTCATGCGGGTATATTCGTCAGTTTGCCTCGTTCCGCCGCTTTCGCGCACGAAGCACGCGTCCGTTTCCGGTCGCACGCGTCAACCGTTTGTTAGGCACGTAGCACGCCTGTGACACGCGAAGACTTTCCTGAGGTCTTTCCTCAACCATATCCTTCTGGTCACATCGACGCACGTGCAGGCTTGTTTCCGTCGGGCAAACAACTTTGCTATGAACTTTGCCCTATATACACTACGATTCTGTAATAATACACTTCGAATTCCTGAGGAAACTCTGCTACATACATACTTTAAATTCAAATATAAAATTCTTTTAATCGTTTGCTACTTGTTTGGAAGAGATGGGATGTCTACAAACGCGCGATTCATTTTATTTCAAGGGTACTTCATCAACTTCCATCTGGCTCTACTTTTTATTAAACTGTCTCAAAGTTTACAAGCGTGAGAGGACGTCAAAGTTTTTTCATATTCATCGTTTGGTAGACCAGGTAGGAAATGAAAATCCGTCTCCTCTTGCTTTAAATTTTCATGCACCTGGCTGCTCGCGTGGAAGCACGATGCACGCGCGTGTGGGTGCGTATATTTATGGGCGCGTTTCGACGGCAGGAGGTCCCACGAGCGTCGTACAAACGACGAGCAGACTCGAAGGAGCGGAACATCGAAGCTCGTTTACCGAAAATCTCGATATGCATTTCAGGATGTCGTCGTACTGCCAGCAAGTCGAATGGAAAATTCTTTGATCGTAAAAGTAATGAAAGGTATCTGTGGAATGTCTCGCAAATGAGCGCGCATTCCAAGCTCCTCGTCGACCTTCGATCGGGGATAATGAAACGATAGGGAATCGCAGTTTAATCAGTGCTGACCGTGCGATTTTAATCGAAATTGTGTTATAAATCGGACGAGATTTTATTACGTCGATCAGATATTAGAAGAACAAAAGGCATTTTATTTTAATATGACAAAGTTTAGTATACAATGTTTAACGAACAAAATATTATGGGTTATAATAAAATGTATGCACCAATGCAAGTAGGTACGTTCTTACTTATAATCGGAATCGATAAAACCGAAAGGAATGTTTAAAATGTAGCCAGTCAATCCGTTCTTGAATCATCCTAACTGCTTAGGAAAATAATTTGTACACTCTTCTGTAAGTGCTATCTATCTCTCTCGCTGCGACTCTCCAGATCTTGGTTATTAATCAAGCCAAGTGGGAAAAGTTTGCCAGCCCTCTCATGAATATATGTCTCTTTTATCGCCGGGGCGTACATCTTAATTTAACCACTATCGCGGTTTTACGAAAATAGAATTTAATATCGAAGTTACTTGCAAACACGTTAACCGGGTGACGTGTTGCGAAGGCGTGCTGTCAATAATAATCCTTGTACGGGACCTCCCGCCGCGAACTTTCCTCCTCTTGCAATCGCTCATTTCGTGTCCTCTGGGAGGCAACTAATTTGTGGCGGTTGTTCGAGATGAAATATCCCGCGGTGCGGCGCGTCTATTGATACTCGAAGAAACGGACGAGTAACTCCTTCCGGCTCCATCAGCTAAAACGCAATTTTCCGTGTCAAACTTCGTCAAGCAACTGGCACAAATTTTTATCATTGTATCTCGTACGGTTTCTCATTTCGTTACTGTGAATTCTAGTATACGAATCCAGTTAGTGGGAATATTGATGATTTCAATCGAATCAAATTCGTGATAGACGTTGCCCCTCGGCAAATTATGCATATCGTATTGAGTTGGAACAACACGAAATAGAGTATTGCCTAAATCAGTCATTTCGAGGAAAATGCATGTCGTTCGCTTGATGTTCTCTCGTCGAAACGCATCCCGCACGATAGGCAATATTGAAATGTCGACTTTCTTTCGATGCTACGCGTACATCGAGAGTCCAATAATGATTTATACGAAAACCATGTATGCCGAGTTGAGAATTAAACGTGACAACGGAGATGAAGGTGTATTTTATTGTACAGAAATTAAACATTGAACGGAACATATTGTCCTGTTTCATCTCGTTGCCTTTTACGATTGTTTGTCACCTTTCGTTTATTGGAGAGTTACGGGGGTTTAAGATGTTTCATTTGGCTTTGTCTCGTTTCTCTTCGAGTAATTCGCAAGCAGTAATACTCGAAGCTGTTTCCTCAAGCGAGTAACAGAGCTCGTTGAATCCACGTGTCGCGTATTCACCTCGGCTGGGGATTGTTCTGTCTCTGTGGTAATTAAACTCGTCGTGTAAGATTATCTGGAACGATGATTGCGGTTTTTAGAATCGAAAGCGTGTATTGTTGTTCTCGGTTTCGCCTCTAAACAGCAGCATTTTATCCGCATGCGAATAAGAAGAGATATTCCAAGCTCGCTATTATTTTTATACAAAATTATTATATTAAATAAAATCCTAATAGCTTTTGGATGTGAGCTCTGGTGTGTTTAATTACTTAGAGAAATGCATAGCAGGAAGTGCGTCTTTAAAAATCTTTAATGTATATTTAAAAAGATAGAAAATGGGGAATACGTAAAATAATATTCGAACTATGGAAATTAACGAAGATTCGACGAATTTGCTTCTAAAATACAAGCCTGGAGGGAGTCAATCTTGTATGGAAGTGAATTCCATTTGATCGATACTGTGAAATCGGATTTCACATTTCAAAGTGTGTGGCAATCAGAAGATATATAAAAAACGACTACTGATTTTGCGAAAAGATTAATAAACGGAGGAACATCCCAGCCGCAAACTGTCCATCAAAATAATATTGAAACAATTCCTTTTATTTCCTCGTGCTCCATCGGAGTATCAAATACAGTTTCCCGTGGATTTTACGTTCCTCGATCTCGTATTCGATTCGCACAGAATAATATTGCTAAAACGCAGGATCTCTCCTTTTGTCTGTCCGTGTACAAAGGGCTAACAGAACTTAACACCCTTCAATAACACTCGGTACACGCGCCGCCTCGACAGTGCGTTTTATTAACCGGCACGAATGTTTACCGAGACGTGAAACTTCCCTTGGATACAGTCGGCCAATTTCCTCCGCAGAACCTTGCTCTAAAGGTATTCTACGGAAGAACTTCCCTAACGAAATAAACCACAAAGGTAACTATCTCTGTTAACTGAAGTTATAATAAATCCTCGACGTGAAACATAGAAATCTAAGAGGAAAGATAGAGAAGGATAAAAAAAATTATTGTGCATTGCCCACATTGAAAACAAATAAATTGATTCGCATCTGTTCGATTCGAGTCTATTCTGCTAATCTCGCGGATGCTGCGGAAATGTAACAGCCGATTTGTTGGACCTCGTAAAGGTATTTAGGAAAGTCGTTCAACGAAACCCGGGGAAGAGGTAAAGAGAGGGAGGACGTCGCGTTGGTGTTCGCGAGTTTAACAGCTGCACACCATCCGAGAACACCGGTGCGGTTGTACACCGGTCCGGCCCTCCTCGAAATCGTTCGGCTCGAAATTACCAGGCGTTGAAGCTTCCTGTTGCAGCGCTATTTTCACTCATTTTCATTTAGCGTCCCTATTAAATTCGAGTCAAGCTTGTCACCACGCATTTGGATTCCATCCTGGTTTCCATTAAAACTTTCTTTTTCTTTTTTTTCAACTCAGGCAACGAAACATTTAGTGCTTAACATTTTTCTCGTTTCTTTTAGGAAAAATTGTATTCATTGAGAGATGGTCAATAAAATTCATGTGCTGGAATTTATCTTAAGGAACCCAATGGTTTGTATCATGAACAACCTAACAGAGTGAAATATGTAGCCGTCGAGTTCGCTGGTTCGTGATCCGAGGATATAAACTGCTTTTCGTAAAGTTCGTTCGACGTACCGTTGCCAGTTTCCCGAAGCGTTCGACTAAGTCGAGCAAGCTGTGAGATGTGTCTACGGTTAACGTGGTACCTCCAATTTCTTGACGAAATTAGAACGTTTCATGCGCATTTAGATAGGCCACAAATTGCATCGGCTAACAAAATTAATAGAGAATTTCATTCCTGCGAACAGAAAGTTTCATTGGACTTTTCTTGTATCCGAAAGAGCACTTTGTGTTAATGAAGTACATTCCGCTAAAAGACGGGGTCCCTTCCGTGTTTATCGTTACGTCGTCTTTCGCTCTCAGCGAGGACCGAAGAGGGGGGCAGAACGGGAACGCGATACAGAAAACGCGCGGCATTTATCGTGTCAGTCGGTTTAATTCCGTTGCTGGACGAACGCTACGGGATAAAAGAACTCGCGAAAGATAATGCCGACTTCGAAATTGGATATGCGCGATGCGGCGGGCCTCGGCCGCGACACGCTTACTCCTATCGCCTTTCGGCTGCATTCCCTTAATTACTCCCGCGGACGGTGTACTAATTAACAGAAACGGCGTTCTTTGTTCTAGGCGAGGCGAGGACGTGAGTGGTTGATCCGATGAATGGGGCTCGGCTCTGGCACAGGTATTCTCTACAAATAATTTCGGAATCGGTCGGATTCGCGTAGACAAGTGACAAACTCGAAACTCGATCAGTTTAATGCCTCAGATTCCGTTCGCCGAATATACTTTAACCTCGGAATTCAAACCTGGCCTGCGAGTATTCGGGCACAATTAGGCTACCGATTCAGGTCACACGTCCCTCGAAACATCTGACACTTCTCCGTTTGCTTTGACAGAAGAGATCTTCCTTCCGGACTCTTTCTTTAAAGAACGTTTCTCTAAATATTAGGCCATTTCTTATACTCCCTACTTTGGAATCATGGAGTTTATAAAACTAGATATACGATTTCAATATTTCATTTGTGTTTACTTCCTTACATAGAATAAGTATAGTATAGACACATTAGACATTGGATCGATCTAATCAGTGGTGGGTTTTATTTGGGATCGATATTCTACGAAGCTAAAGACTGTCCTTTAGGTAGGGATACAGTCGAACGGAAAACAAGGGATAAAAACGTCTTGAACGGTTGAGCGATTATCTGATTACGATGCAACTCTTGTAGCAGCTTGCGCCAAGTGGGACGAGAATCAAATCCGTTGAATCGATCGGATACGTATCAGGACGAATAATCATATTTTACTTAAACTCTCGCTCTCCTGTCTGACTACCTTTCAGAAAGCGTTTATAAACCCATTAGTTTCGTCTCGTTTAAACTCCCTTGCCAGTTCGTTTCAATCCAATTCGGTTCTTAGCGCTGTCATTAATCCAATCAGCTTGAAGAGAGGAAGAACAAACTATGACAAAAAGTATCGCCGTATTCTTTGTCTCAGGGTTTAAAAAAGGACAGAACTCGAAGACTGCAGGGCAAATCACTATAAATGTTCCGAGCGTGAAATATCATACCGGATCAAACGAGATTTAAATCTAATTCGCGATATGGGATCGCGATCTAGTCCGCGCCGTGAGGAGCTTTAGCTCTCCGTCGCGCTGCTTTTTCAAAGCGAGGGAAGAAATAAACGTGCACTTTGTATTTTTCTCTTTTTTGTTAATGCACAAACAGCCCGGATCCCGACATCAGATATCTGAAAGCCCCTTTTAAAAAGCATCGTCACGGCGGCGCGCCGTTAGAAAACATTTACATCGAAGAGTCGCCGGGGCATGGTTTTGCGCTTGAAATTTCCGCGGGTCAGCGTACACTTTCGGGAATTAAAGGGTCGACAGCTCCTAGTCGTCGCGAAGGCTCGCAACGCCACCGTTCACACAAAGCGAACGCGAGACTGCTTCCGGCATTTCTCTTCGCTACATTTAGTACCCCATTCGCTCTTCTTACACCTTCCCGATTGTCTCGGGAAAAGAGAGAAGGGAAGAAGATTCTTCTTGTACACAAGTTCGTGCTCCTCTCTTTTCTCGTAGAGCCCGGCGTGCCGTTTTCATCCCTACGGCTCTTATTTCCTTGGAGGAGAAACGTAAAACGTGCGAAAAAAGACGAAAGACGAAACGCAGTACGCTCGAACTAACCGAGGAGAAGAAAATAAAGGGTGGAAAAAGGACAGAGGGATGAGAATACGTGGCTTATCTTGAACTCCGCGCGCCGAAAGGGTTTCCTACAGCTTTTACCGCGTCGCTAGACAAAGTTGAGTGCCGTTGGGTATCGTTTTGCATTGCTGCCTTTTCCGTCTCCCGGCTTCCCTGTTCCTGTGTTTCCCGCCGCGTTTTCCGGAAGGCGCAACCGCGCCGATTGGAACTCCTGGCTGAATACAAGCCTAATTGGAACTGAAAGCTCTGGCTGGCCTCGTGATCCCGCTCCGTCTTCTAATGGCACGGCTATAACGAGCGTTCTTCGCGGTGCGGTACAACTTTTCCCGCCGATCGATGCGCACTTCGACGACTTCGAGTCAGAACTAAATATTCAGAACAAATGGATATCCTACAAAATAAATGTAATAATACAAGCTGTAGGAGGAGAAGAAATATCGTGAATCTGTGAGGAAATCGTAATTTGCAGGGAAAGAATTCAGTGAAGCGTGAGCAGAGATTTTTCTGAACGATCATTATCATGGAACGAAGCAATTACGAATGAAATAAATATCTTGTTTCTCAGAGATAGAGTTTTTCACATTAAGGATGTATTGGCTACACAGTCAATCCCAAGAGTCTATGTACTTTAGAAAAACGCATTTCCTATAATTAAAAAGAAATCAGACGTCGGAAGATCAATGCTAATAATAAATAGATACGTGCTAAAAAGTATAGAAGGAAATATCCAATTAATTATTGACGCTGGCGAAAAATGTTTTATACAGAAGTTGTAGGCACTGATAGCCTCTACAAAGA